TTTTTTTAAAAAGGAAGTCCTGGTGCCCCTCAAGTAGCTAGTCTTCTTTCCCACATCCAAATGCTCCGCGGGGAACATTATCTGACCTGGCAATTCGCTACATTCTGTTGAGCTTTACGGATTTATGTGGCTGCTCTTGCTTTCCAGTCTGCAACCTCCTTGAGGCTAAGCCTGTGTTTACCGTACAAGAACATTGTCATTCCGGCCAGTGCTTAGCACACGATAGGGCGTGATACAGATTAGCCCCACAGCTAAAGACCCAGCTTCCTTTCCCTATGTTTCCCCCAGCCTGGGTGGTGTGATGGTTAGTTTGTGCTCGACTACGATCCAGCACAGTGGGTTCAGTGTCAGGCTACCAGCCACGAGGTTAACCGCCAGCCAATTCAGCTCCCTGGGCGTCTAGTGTGGCCTATAGGAGTCAGAATTGACTCAACAACATTGGGGTCACTCTCGGACAGGTTGGCAGTTCGAGCCCACCCAGTGGCTCTACAAGTGGCAGCTAAGAAGCCCCTCTGCAGTAGCGCCTCTCTAACTTATGGGATGCCTACTGGTTGGAATCACCTTGATGGCCACGGAATTCATCCTGGTTTGCTTAGACTGGGTAGGATCTCAGCCACATGGGACTGAAATACCATTATAATTGGGACAATTGTTTTGTCTTTTTTCTCTCTCTTGTGATCTTTGGATCACACAGGTTAGTGTGCTTCTTCCATGTGGACTTAGTGGACTCCTCACTTAGATGGCTGCTTATTTGTATGCAAGCCTTTAAGACCCCAGATGCTATTCCAATTGATAGCTAGTAACCATTTTGCTGTCTCCACCACACTTTGCTACAGCACCCCTATCTTCCGTGGTCACTTTCTGGAGGCCAAGGTCGAGCAGGCCCATGTCACAGAAACTGTTCTTGGATTAGGGCTAGAATTAAGCGGGAGCCCAGCATCCATCCGTTGGTCCCTGGGGAATTGTTTTATTGTCTGCGGGGTATTGTTTCGTTCTGGCGTCTATCCACCATGCCCCACTCCCACCCCGCCTTGACTGGGTGCCCTTTGCCAAACTCCTCAGGTGCAGGAAGGGAAGGTCCAGAGGCCCAAAGGCATTGGGAAGGCAGGCAGGTGTGCTGTGGAACAGGAGCGGGAGCCGGCCAGAACTGGAGAGGCTTGGGGGCTGGCAGGCAACAGACGCAAGCATTGGGTCAGAGGGGAGAGCCGATCTGCACTTTGTCCTCACAGACTGCTATCATCCCGGGCCTCCTTTGAGCCTGGGAGTCTCAGACAGTGGGTGGGGGCTGCTCTGCAGGGGGCCGTGGGGGATGGAGGAAGTGGGGGCATTCCAAGCATTCTTAGCTCTCTGGAAGTCAGGCTGTGGGGGGTGGAGTGGGGAAGCTGCCAGCACTGGGGGAAAGGGGATTTCTTTGGAAAGAGACTAAAGGTCGCAGGGGTGTCTTTCTGGGGGATGGGGAGAGAAGGGGCCAGATGGCCTGAGATGGGGTGGGGCTGCGGATCTCTTCTTGCCAAAGAAGAGCAATGGAGGCCCTGGTCAGCCCCTGCCGCCCGTCTGCTAAATAGGCCCTAGCCAGGAGCCCCAGGGAGGTGCCATGCAGGGCGTGGGCGCGGTGATTTGTGTAGATGAAGTTTCTCGACTGCCCATCCTGGCGCAGCCCACAGGAATATCAGGTAAGGGCAAGAGTCGCCACCTTGAGCCCCAGCCCACCCACAGAAGGAGAGAGACAGCTTTGCAGTCACCATTCTGTTTTTAATGGGGTGGTTCTTTCTGGCCACAGGAGGGGGAAGGGACCCTCTAGAGAGGCAGTCCCTCCAACCCTCCCCACCCCCGCATCATTAGTGGGGCAACATTGAAAAAATACCTCTCTATACACAAGCCTTACAAGTCCTAGTGGAGTTCTTTAGTACAAGACATTCACATTATTGAAAACAGCCAGATTCCTTTAAAAATAACAACAAAACCACAGTGTTGAGAATGTAGAAATAAATAAGGACATTCCAGGTCCCCAGAGCCCAGAGAGACAGACACACCCGTTCTCAGTATCTGGAGCAGCTTGGCGGGAGGTGGGTGTCTTTGAGGTCCAAGGTGGGGCCTGGAGGAGCCTGGCTCCCTTGAGAAGTCCGTGCAGCGGCCTGAGCCTTTTCAAGTCTTTTGGATTCGTAGCAGCGACCCCAGGAGGCCTGGGCCAGGTTGGGAGGATGGGAAAGTGGGGAGAACCTTTTGAGGAGATAAGAGGTTATGTTCGCTTACTCCTGAGAGATCGGGGCTTCCTCCCAGAGTCCCTTCCCAGGACACTAGGAAGCCCCAGGCATGTTAGCAGGGACCACAGTCCGATCCTGGTGGTTAGCTGAGAAGGGTGTGTGTCCAAGGCCACCCCACCCCACTGTGATGGGCTGAGGAGGGAAGCAGCTGCCCTGGGGGAGGGCACCAGGCACACAAGGGACTCATTGCCCTGGAGGAGACAGCTCTGCCTGTCTCGGTAGCCCTGGCCTACAAGAAACCGGGGGAAGGGGGGCAGCTTGGGCTCCGAGGGTGGGGAACCTCCCCACCCCACTCCTCTTCCTCAGACATCAGACCCTCCACACACTTCACCTGCCCATTTCCCACGTCCAGCCCCCTCCGGGGCCCTATCACAAATGCTCCCAACCTTCCGGGCTGGGATCCTGGTCCTCAAACCTGGGGGGAAGACACTCTTCCCCTGGGGTGCAGCCAGCTGTATTGGAAAGCCTGCCCTAGTGGGGCCACTGCCCCCACCCCACCCCACCCCTCAGCTGAGCTTGGAGCAGACCCCTCGGGCTTGTCGGTAGACCTCGGTCACCTCCTGGCAGTCCGTCAGGGAAAAGCAGCTCTCCCCTAGGGGGTCCAGCCGCCAGTGTCTCAGGCGGCTGACGGGGCCCTCTGAGGGGCCCCCCAGACCCATGAGGCTGTCCACAGACACACAGCCCCTCAAGGGGTGCTCCGGGAGACGGTCAGGCAAGGCCAGCTCGTCAAAGGACTCGGAGGACAGGATGCTGTCTTCACTCACAGCCCCCGAGGGGCGGTTGGCCCTGGCTGGAGGGTCTGGTGAGGCCAGCTGGTCCAAGGAGCCGAAGGCAGCGGGGGCGGTGAGCTCGGAGGCCATGCGGGAGAACCTGCCATTGCGTTTCAGGATGCCCTTGCGCTGCTGCAGCAGCTCCGAGGCAGGGGGGGCTTTCTGCTCCACGGGGTCACCACTCACAAACACGTCGCCCGAGTCCAGGAGCTCCCCGGACTCACTGGGTTCAGGCGAGGAGTAGTAGCCCGACTCCCGCTGCCCGGTCTTCTTGAGAATGCCCTTCCGGGGCGGCAGGGGGACGGCCTGCCCGGGGCTGGCCAGGACGGGGCTGGGCTCACAGGGCTCCCCCTGGGCCCCCGCTGCCAAGTTCGAAGGCTTGTTCTTGAGGATGCCCTTTGGCAGTTTGAGGTCCCCCTTGCTGGGGTGTGGGGTGGGGCCGTTGGCCAAGTCCCCCAAGCGAGACTGGGCCATGTCATTCTCCTTGCGGGACTTCTTCAGGGAATGCTGCCGCTCAAGGCTGGGCCCAGCGGCCCCTCCCCCAGGCACATGTTGCTTGAAGAAGCTGCAGACCTTGGCCCCATTCTCCAGGAGGGGCCGGGAAGAGCGCCGCAGCCAATCGGCCATGGTGGCCCGGGTAGAGTCATTGCTGGGCTGCCCGCCCTCCTGCGGGGCCTCCTGCTCTCCCACACGAGTGGCGTAGCCCCAGTTGACCCACCAGTGACTGGCCACATCCTCCAGCGTCGCCCGGCGGCTGGGGTTCACCATGAGCAGCCACCGGATCAGGCCACAGGCGTCTGAAAGACAGAAGTCAAGGATGGGCTTCAGCTGGTCCACCCTGGAGAATGGGCACCCCAGTCTTCTATCTCACCCCCACCCCCATTGGAGCTCAGTCATGGCTCACCCTGGGGCCAGAGACATCCCGTCTCACGTTGGTCTGTTACAGACTGAACTGGGTCACCCTGACGGATGTGCTGCAAATCCCCACCTGTGGCTGGAAACTCACTTGGAAAAGGGAATGTCTGAGTTACATGAACGAGGCCCTGTCGGTACACGATTTGTCTAACCCAGTGGTTCTCAACCTGGGGGTGGAGATCCCGTTGGGGGTCAGACCACCCTTTCACAGGGGTCACCCAAGACCATCAGAAAACACATATTTCAGATGGTCTTAGGAACTGAGACACTGCTCCTCTATCCGTCTCCAGGTGGGTCAGCCCACATGCAAACACGCCCACACACGAGCACCCGGCGTGAAGACTGTTACCCAGGCTACACCATGCTTCAAGACAAAATGTCATTTAGTTGTCATTAGAAATAAATATTTCACACTATATAATGACATATTGTTTTTGTGATGAATCACTGCTTTTATGATGTTCAATTTGTAACAATGAAAATACATCCTGCCTGTCAGATATTTACATGATGATTCCTAACAGTAGCAAAATTACAGTTATGAAGTAGCAATGAAAATAATTTTAGGATGGGGTCACCACCCCATGAGGACCTGTATGAAAGGGTCGCGGCGTTAGAAGGTAGAGAACCACTGTCTTACTCTTGATCATGTCAGCTATCAGGAGAGCAGATTAGGCACAAAAGCCAGCAAGCACGACCCGGACTGAGACCTCCAGCTGGCTCCTCCCGAGAGCAGAGAGAGAGAGACTTTCTACCGAGAACCAGGGCCTGGATTCGGCCCTCCAGCCTCCTAAAATCTCTGTTCGTCACAGCCACCCACTTATGGCCTTTCTGTTACAGCGGCACTAGGGCACCCCTAGGTCTCAGTGTCCAGCTCTCCTGAATGTGACGCCCCAACCACTCCAGTGTCAAGACCCCTCAGGGCCTACAGCCTCTTTGTTAGCCTTAATCTACTTTCTCCCCCTCCAATGACATGTGACTCTTTAAGGCGGCCTTGTGCACAAGGGAATTCAAGGCACACACACCTTGCTTCTACGCACGCGTGAAAGGACAGACAGATTTCTGAGGACGGGGACCTAAGCAATGACACAATTGCAACAAAGAGGTTCTCAGCCCCCAGGAAGCACTTCTCAAATATACTCAAGCCCGCCCTGCCAGAAAGGAAGGGCGATCCACTTCCCTGGCCAAGGCCACAGGCCCAGGAGGCAGAGAGGTCCCGGCTAGAGGTAGTGGAGCGCGTCCTAGCTACAGGGATTAAGTCATGCTGGGCTGGGGGCCTCTCTATTGGAGGCTGTGGGCCCCCTTTGACTTCCTGCCTAAGGAACCAGCATGCCCACTCTGTGGAGGGGGCCATGCCCCCTTAACCACGCACCCGAGGGCTTCGGCGGCTCACGGTAGGCCCCGCTGCTGATCTGCTTCACCAGTGTCTTGTGGTCATTCCCGTCGAAGGGCATGGTGCCGTGCACCAAGATGTAAAGGAGGACACCCAGGGACCAGCTGTCCACCTGTAGAGAGAGGTGCCATCAGCAACCGTGCCCACCTGCCACAGGCTGGCACGCTGCCAACGGAACTGCCACTCCAGAGGAGAAATGTTCTCTGCCAGGGAGGCCAGCGTGCCTGCGGGTGACTCCCCCTTGTAGCACTCAGGGGCAAAGGGGGTGAGGGGCTGGCACCCGGGTGGCTCATCCCTTCTGGGTTGGCATGAGGGAGTTATGACTGCTACCACCCCTGGATCATTCTAGGAAGGCTGGGTTTGACACCAGGCCGGGACACGGGAACTGGGAAGGTGGGGAAAGCAAAGGACCAGATGATGGGAGCCAGGAGACCAAAGTCTCCACTCGGGTCTAGCCACTGCTGACTAGAGACCGAGTGGGTTCTGTGCTCGGAAAAAAAGGAATAACTGGAAGACGAGCCATCTACTCAGAGGGTCTCAAGCCACAGGTAAAGGTGAGGAGGGGCTGGCGGAATCGTGCGTACCTCGGGGCCCGTGTAGGGCTTCCCGTTGACGATCTCCGGCGAGGCGTAGAGGGGGCTCCCGCAGAACGTCTGCAGGAATTTGCCTTGGTGGTATTGGTTGGAGAGGCCAAAGTCGGCGATCTGCAGGGTTAGGCGAGATATGGACAGGGCTCAGCCCAAAGCCAGGCCGGCCCAACGGTCCTGGCCCCAACCGGGCTGCCCACTGATAGGAAGGGTACCCATGACCCCTACTCCACCCACACTGGGTTGTGTCCTGGAAGAGCCCTTAGGAGGCGGGGCCAGCGAGGAACTCCAAGGCCGAGGGAAGGACACAAGGCTCATGCCCCACTGGCTCCAAACTCAGTCGGTCTCCCTGTCTACCTACGTCCTCCTGACCCAGCAGGCCCAGCACCATGGGAAGCCACTCACTGCCCTCAGCTCTGCCCTGCCTGGGAAGCATGCACATTTGCCACTGGCTTGCTGCAGCCCAGCTGCTCCGTCAGCTAGTACACCTCCTGTCTGACCTCCTTCAGTTCCTAACGCAAGTACGCCCCAATGGACCCTCACTGACTGAAAGGAGAGAGCCAACTTCTCATGCCAAGGCCGTGGCCCTCAGAAGCCAGCCAGTCCCCCTGCTGAGTAACCAACCACGCAAGGCTTGGACTGTCCTTCCTAGTGGAGAGCTCATCTCCCTGACCACACCTTGGTCAGGTGACCGCAACCAGGAATCAGCCTGGGGGAGCTGAGAAGGGAGGGTGACGGCCAGACAAAGGCTGTGCTTACAACCCAGGAGGGGCAATCATCCCCCAGGGCTCCCAGAACCATCTCATCCCCAGGACCAGAGGGGCCCTGCCCGCCTCCCTTCTCTCAGTCTCCAGCAAGCTCCTTTCCCCCAACAGACCTCGGCCTCCATCTGGTTTCAGCTAGAGGCAGGTCAGTGCCCTGTCGCTCCTCAGCCCTGCCCCCTCAACAGAGGGCTGGCTGCGTGTGCTCAGGGCGGGGAGAGTGTTTATGCAACCCTGACTCCCTCCTTTATTGTTTTATGGTCGTTTATTGGGCAGTTATAACAGACAGCCTACAAAGATTGGCCATTAGGCAGGCAGGTGATTGGTGTCAGGCAAAGTTCTCCCCAGGCTCAGTTATCTGGGTTTATTGCCTCTGGCTTCCCAGTCGGAGAAGGCCCACCCGTTCTGAGAAATGGCTGGGAGATGGGAAAAAAACTCAAGGCACACATCAGGGGCCATTGGAGAAGAGACTCTGTCCTAGGTTCTGGACGATTCTAGGAGGGTTGAGGGCAGAATCAGAGCCTTCTCAGAGGCCTGCAGAGAAGCCTCCTGCCTGAGCCCCTGGCTGGCCATGCTCGTGTCTCCTTCCAGCCCAGAGAACTGACTTGGCCGCATCCACAGGGATGCCTCCCGACCTACATGCCACTGCTGAGGCCTGGGAATCCGGCAGCTGCAGGAAGCAGGAAGCAGGTACCCGAGAGAAAGCTGGGTCGGCCTGTGGGAACAGGTGCCAGGGCTAGCTAATTGCAGCAGATCAAAGCGTGTCTGCGTGCCAGTGTGTGCATGGGCAGGTGAAGAGAATGCAGGCCAATGATGACCCTGGGTCTGTAACCCTGCCGCTGTTTACTGGGGAGCCAGAACCCAGGGTTCAGACACTCGCTAACTGTGGGATCTTGTGCAAGTCACCCCTTATCGTGGGGTCTTGGTTTTCTATCCATAAATGAGGAGCTGAAATGGTGCCGAGGTCCTGACCAATACTCATGTACAAATCTGAGCTTTGTCCACACTCTCTAGAATCTTCCAAAGGGTTAGAGACTTTGCCATACTAGGGACAGTGTGGCAAGGCTTGGGGGTGGGAAGTGGGGAGCTACTGGTGATAGGCAGGGCTCACCTTGATATTCCCATTGGCATCCAACAGGATATTCTCCAGTTTGAGATCTCGGTGGACAACCCCGTTCTGAAAGAGGGAGAGGAGACAGTCAGGGGAAGGTCCCCAAGAGAGTTAGGGGCCTTCCCTGGAAAAATGGGGTAAAAACAAAGAGAGCTGAATACGCTAGGAATCGCTATCTTTATCAGTGTACCGCGCAAGCAATCCCAGGCCCTCCCATGATAGGCACCAGAAACAACAAACAAACAAAACCCCCCTTTCCGGGGGGGGGGGTGTCTGTCCCCAGAATGGAGTCTTGCCCCTACTTCTGCCTCCCCGGTGACCTTGGACACGTCACTGAACGTCCCGGGCCCCTCGGCCCACGTGGTCACCAGGAGCCTGGTGGTGGCGGGGGCTGCTTACTTGGTGGCAGTAGGACACGGCGGAGACGATCTGCCGGAAGAAGTGGCGGGCGTCCCGCTCCCTGAGCCGCTGCCGCTCGCTGATGTAGTCGTACAGGTCCCCACGGCTGGCATACTCCATGACGATGACAATCTTGCTGCTGTTTTCAAACACTGGGCAGAAGCAGGCGGCAACATCAGGCCCGGCCCCAGAGCCAGACAGGGCCTGCCCACGGGGTGTCTGCTAATGCGGCAGGCAGGCAGCTGGTCAGTAAGGGCAGGAGAAGCCCAGACCTTCTGGGAGCACTGAGGTAAGGCCCGGAACTGTGTGTTCCCCCCCACCCCTGCCTTGGAATTCTAGCTTTGGAGGATTCTTAAAAGCAACTCTCAGGAAAACACTGACATCACTGGAGGGGAATGCAAGGTCAGGACCTCTGGTCCACAATCCAGTACTTTCTTGTCTTAATGACCTTGGGCGGATCTGGCCAAGACAGCAGGAAGATTGCAGGCCTGCAGTTTCAATCCTGGCCACCCCCATCACACAACCACAGGCCAGGTTTGCAACCGTGGTGCCTCAGTTTCTCATTTAAAGAGTGTCCCTAATAATGGCAACCTTCCAGGGCTGGGTGAACAACAGAGAAGTCAGGGGTAACTCTGGCAGGGTCAGGGGGCACAGAGTCTGGTATGTCAATGCGCAAGAAGGTAGTTCAAACCCACCAGCTGCTTTGCAGAAGAGAGGACAGTGAGATTTTCTGCTCCTGTAAAGAGTGACAGGCTCAGAATCCCCCAGGGCCAGTTCTCCCTTATTCTATAGGGTTGCAATGACGTTCAGAATCCCCCAGGGCCAGTTCTCCCCTATTCTATAGGGTTGCAATGACATTCAGAATCCCCCAGGGCCAGTTCTCCGCTATTCTATAGGGTTGCAATGACGCAGACTTGACTCAGGGGCAGTGGGTTATGGTTTGTCTGTTCCGTTTTAGAAGTCTTGGCTACACGTGGGCTGCTACTGACAAGTTAATGGTCCGAACCCGCCGGGGGCTCTGTGGGTGAGAATACCTGGTGGTCTGCTCCCCTCAAGACTCCTGCTGCTGTTGAGTCAACTCCACAGGGTTTGAGAGGTCAGTGTGTGCATCTCTATGAACACAGGCAGCCACATCTACCTCTTGGGGCCGGCTGGTAGGTTTGATATACCAATCTTTCAGTTAGCAGCCAGGCACTTACTTACCCACCAAGGCACCCAGGGTTACTGCCTAGAACAGCTTATGGGGCGGTTCTATTCCTCTCTAAACTCACTCACTGCCACGGAGTCAGTGCTGACTCACAGCGACACTACAGGACAGGGTGAACTGGCCCTGTGGGTTCCTGAGACTCTAACTGTTTACTGGAGTAGAAAGCTTCGTCTTTTTTCCCACGGAGCGGCTGGTGGTTTTGAACTGTTTGTTGGTTGTGTGGTTAATCAGCCCAATGTGTTACCCGTTAGGCCACTGGGGCTCATATGGAGACTCAATGAGTCCGGACTGACACAGTAGCAGCAGGTTTGGAATTCAGGGTTTAATGACTAGACTGCTAAGGAATTCAGGGTTTAATGACTAGACCTCTCAAACCCTGTGGAATTGACAATGGCCCTCAGTGCAAGTATGCCCTTGAACCCCTTCCCCCACCCCAGTTGCCCAGTCTACAGGTGGAGGAAGGGCTGGTTAGGCAAACTGGCCCTCTGTTGGGTGCCTGTCAGCACATGTATGTCCATGACTGGCAGCTCTGTCAGACGGGCCCTTGGAGCCGGCCCCAGAGCTTACTGTAGTCTAGCCTCAGAGAAGGAGCTGCAGGAGGGGGCCTCACCCAACAGCAGCCCAGGCCCCAGGCGCTTTCTGCCAGGGGTTCTGGGGAACAGCCTTGGGCCGTGGTGGTCCAGTCCTGTGTGAGGCTCTGGCTGGCTCACCCCCGTGCTTCTCAGGATCACCACGAGGTTGGAAGAGACAACCAACCTCTTGCCATGAAACTAGGGCCTAAGAGTCAGCCAGGGCTCATTCTGGGTGAGGAGGCCTAAGAGCCAGCCAGGGCTCATTCTGGGTGAGGCCAGCTCCTGGGACAGGGGACACCCCTTACTCCACCTCCTGGAGTGCACCATCATAGGGGCACCCTGGCCAGACATACCCTGAGATGCAAAGCTCAATTCCTACACACACACA